AAATATTTTAAAAATCTAATTAACTTGATGTATTTGATACATTAAAGAAAAACCCTAGGGAACAAATGTGTCAAAAGTGTGAACTATTTGTGATTTTTTTAAAAATAATGCTTTGTTTTACATGAGCCCATAGAATCAAATGAGTCTGCCTTACTTATAAGGAATAAATGATGTTATAATTTTTTGGCTTTTGCATTATTTTATGAAAGCAAATAAAATTATTTTATAATTCAATTACAGTTATGAAAAAATCCATAGTAAGGATCTAAGACATATTCTATTTTGTGCTTTATATCTCTGTTAATGCATAAATTCTGTAAGATTATGAACTCTTTCAAGTATTATCAGATTATATCAGAAAATCACATATTAAAGTGCCTCTTAATAACAATGTATTAAATTTGTTTTTTTCAAATCCTTTAGGTACTGGAACTCTAGATGAGGTCAGATTTTATTAATTTTCTGTTTATATTGTACTGTTATCATTAGAATATTTAATATTATTATTTGCTTATAAACGAAATGAAAATTTTTATGAGCAGTGATTTTTTTCTATTTATAATCCTCATTCAAAATGCTTGAGACATTAAAAAACAATCAGTACATGTAGTGTTGTGGTACTGAACATAAACATGTCTATCTACACATCTCAATGATACAGCAAGATAAAAAATGAAATCCTTTTATGCTCGCTTTCCTAATCTCTCAAGAATAAAAAAAAATTAATAAGCCAAACTTACTTATGTTTAAATTGCATAAATTTGCAAAATCTTGCTTAACAAAATATTTGATCAATGAAATATGTTCATGTTACCTTTTTGAAGAATTGAAATTAATCATTATCTATGTTTTTCTTAACAGGAACAAGAAAGTGAAGGAGAAACATATGAAGACATGTATGAACTATATTTTCTACCATAATAGTTTTCTTCTAAGCTGAATATGTTTTGTAAGAGGGAGTGTGGGTATATACCAACACCAGGGGGACAAGTTCATTTTGTTCAAATGATTGACATGTAATGATAATTTCCATACAAAGAACTTAAATTTCCTTATTTCTCTAAGGATTCTATAGAGGACTCTATTAACAAGTGATTGTGTGAAAGGCTATAGATCTGCAGACTACTAGAAAGACCACAGGCAGGGAATCAGACATAAGAATCTGTTATTTCTTGATTTCTGTGTGTCCTTGAGCAAATGAATTAATATATGTATTATGCCTTTTTCATCTGGGCACTGGTGGCCTGTGAGAAGCAGTTAGCACAGTACCCACATGCCAAAGTTTCATCTTGTTGGAAAGATGTTAAAAATGGCTCCAAAATGGGTATCCAGGGTAAAAGTAAACATGAATTGAATGTATTTTTAATCATATGTTGAACCCAGCTATCTTAATTTTCTTTACCCAGTTCTTATTCAACCAATTTTGTCCCAAGTTTCTGAATCGAGGGGTACATGTGCACCTGTGAATGCATGCTCATGAAAGACAGAGGAAGATTAATAATTTTGTTCCTCCAACATGCAGCAAAGACAGGGTCTTTCTAATCAGTTTCTTCCACTTGCTGCCACAAGTTGTAATGGGAAGCAGAGCCCCTAGAAGATAGTCCCTGCTGTATGTCTCCTACTGATTTTAAAAACAATTTTGCACATCCAAGATTTTGACCTTCATCTACACTTCAGAGAGCATTTTATCTTTTGTGGAGAAACCTCTCTAGATAGTGAGCCCTGACCCATTGACACCTGCTGATGGGAAAACAACCTAAAATTTGTGTCCACAGAGAAACATCCAGAGAAAGAGACAAGAAACGGGAAAAGGAGGAAAAGAAGAGATTAGAACTAGAGAGAAAGGAACAGAAAGAGAAAGAAAAGAAAGAACAAGAATTAAAGAAGAAATTTAAAGTAAGAACTTAATTGCTGATGGGTGAAAGAGTAACATCCTTTTGTCAATTTACATGGCTGGGACATCATTCTTGAAAACTTACATAGTGGGAGAATTACTTAATCACTGTTTTGAAAAAGTATCTTCATGACATGCTTTTTTGGTCTCATACATTATCTTACCCATGCACTAAATAATGTAATATGATGAAATATAATAAAATCCAATTTGGGGGTTTGTAATCTGTGGGTCCTTAGGAGATCTTACATTGATTAAGTAAATGAATATTTCATTACTAACTCAACTTGGCTTTCCCCATTATACATTTCCTATTAGCCTATTTAGGCCAAAAGTATAGGATCACACACATAGATGTTCTGGTGGCATCCCATATAATGGTGCAAAGGACACAAATGCCTCCTGGTTGAAGCAAACTATCTCAGAATGACATTTTTTTTCAGCTATTCTAGTTGCTGGTATCTGGACTTGACTTACTTCTTTTTTCCCTGAGTACAGGAGATTGAGTCCAGGGGTGTTCTGCCATTAAGTTATACCCACAGCTCCATTGCCATGCTGACCTCAAACTTACAATTCACCTGCCGCAGCCTCCTGAGTACCTGGAATTACAGGTGCACACCACCACACCCAGCTCTGACTGAGATTTTTGCTTTTATTTTAAGCCAGTGTACATGCAGACACCTGATACCTGCTGTTTCTCATCCCTGTTGGTCTATCTCAATTTCTAATCTCTGTCTTCTCTGATCTCTGATATTTGTGTGACTTCTATTACAACCATCACAAAACACTACTTGCCAAGGTCTCGGCTTGGCACCAGAATCAAGAGGCACCACAGCTTTGTAGGTTCAAACAGCAATTCTTTATTCCCGCTCTCACACCGCCTCCACACAGGTCCAGGGGCAATCACGTTCTCTTGTCTGCCCGCACAATTCACCTACTCCACGAGGCTAGCTCCAAATCCCATTTTAATCTCAGGAGAACTCAAGCAGCAGGAACACCCTAATCCCAGCAATAATCTTCAACCTCCAACTTCTCTAAAACCCATTACTTAAACTGGCAACGCCTTAAACTCAAGGAGCC